TATATATATATATATATATGTGTGTGTGTGTGTGTGTGCGGGTGTTTTTGCTTGTATATGGGCATATTTTGGGTTTCTTGATACATATAGAGGGGTTTGTGAGAATATTGTTTTTAGAGAGAAATACATGGATGTATGTGTATATATGTATGCATATATATGTGTATGTGTGTATATGAACGGATGAAAACTGAGAGGGTGATTGATCTGTAATTTGTACTTTTTTATATATATATATATATATATATATATATATATATATATATATATATATAAAGAGGTATATATGTATTGTGAGACCGGAATCTACCTACACAATACACTCTTCCAAGCCTATATTAAGTAGGCGACATAGCACTCTAGAGAGGGACAGAGAGTAACTTATAGTAAGCTCCGCTTACACTATCTTTGTAACCTGTTGTTAATATATCTTTCTTACATCTAATCCGTGTTCCGTGTTTTCCTTCTGTGATCCCAGCTTTGGCCCCACATCAGTGGCGACGAGGATTCTAGAAACGCACTCACAGCGAAACCTAAATACCTTACCAGTCCCACATCTGGGTCGACGAAGAATTCGAGAAACGCATTCAGGTCGAAAACTTCAATACCTTACCAGTCCCACATCAGTGGCGACAGAAAGATTCGAGAATTTCGTTCTCACCATATCAATAGCGACAGTACTCGAAATATATACAAACTCCACGCGTTCCCACAGCAGTGTTGAACGTGAAATTAAGCTGGTATTAATACATTAGCGATTTAAAAGCTAAACACCCAGCGTCTACATATAAAAAAAAATATATATTCCAATACCAAACATCAGTGACGAACTAGCGATTTGACATCTACGGAATATTAAAGTCTGTCCAAATAACAATACGAGAACGATTTTTTGCACACCCACACACGCAGAGAAAAAAACAGTTGTTCATAAAACAAACTGACAATACAAGAGTAAGTACTACCATTGTACTCAAGTTTTCGAAAAAAAAAACTATCGAAAATTGTTTTATGTAACTGAGTTGAACTCGGTCATAAAATTATTCTACCCTCAAATTCACTGAGGTGAGTTTTCTTTTGTGTACTCTCTCTCTCTCTCTCTCTCTATATATATATATATATATATATATATATATATATATATATATATATAAATACATAAGTGTGGTAAAAATTATTCAATTACATAAAAATTAACGGAACCACGGGAAAAAAAGCTAAACACATAATTAGTTTAGTTTAACTAATTGTCTGTCCATATTTTTTTCTGTAAAAGAAAAAAAGGAACCAAAATCTATCAAGATTTTTTTGTGTACCTCCTCTTACACGTGTTTCAAAGCAACAAAAAAAAAGCGCTGTCATTTTTAAATATGATTTGCAAAATTAGTTGCCCAAATGTTAAAACTAAATTTGGATCAGCAACAAAAATCAGAAGAAAGACAACAACAACTATTTTTGGAATTACATAAACAACAAATGGAATTTCAAAAAATTACGCTTCAGAATGCTGAACTACAACAGAAACAGCTTAAAGAATTACTCATAAATGCATTAAAAGGCTCAAACTCTGAAAAAGATACAATATTCTCCCAGAGTACAATCTACAATTCAATGGAAACCTTTGAATACGTACCAGAGGAAGACAAAACGTTCCAGGCTTTTTACAGGCGCTACGAAGATATTTTAACGTAGACTGTGAACAATGGCTCAGTAAAAAAAGGTACGTCTACTATTGAGGAAACTGGGAACTACAGAACATAATAGGTTCGTAGATTTTATACTACCCAAGTAAACCACTGACTTGGATTTTTCAGAGACTATTAAGCTCCTATCGGAACTATTCGGGCCTAACACAACCTTGTTCCACAAACGTTGGAAATGCCTGAACACAGTCAAAAACAACTAGCAAGATTTTCTAACGTTTGCAGCATCGGTAAACAAGCTCTGTAATGATTTTAAACTAGCCGAACTGACTGCAGATGATTTCAAGTGCTTAGTTTTCGCACAAGGTCTAGTATCAGCAGAAGACGCCGAAGTCAGACGACGGGTACTGACCAAGCTTGAAAACGAACAAGGATTGACTCCCCAAAAACTGCAGAGGACTGTCAAAGAGTAATATCTGTAAAGCGTGACTCAAACACAATCGAGGAATCAGGTGTGACTCAGATTAATAAAATCAGAAGTAAGTCTACCGCTTATTCCTCTCAAAAAGACGAAAGGCAAATCTCATGTCCTAAATTCCGCAGTAACCAAAACCCAAATAAGTTAAAGAAACCGCCCGGACCATGTTACCATTGTGGTAAATGGCACTGGATGAAATTCTGTCCAGTTAAGAACAAAAAAATATTGCAAAATTGCAATAAAAGTGGGCATTTTTAACTTCGTGCTGGTACGCCAACAGAACGAGAAAACCCAAAAATAAAATTAGGCAAGCTCAATCTGACAATATTGCCGATAGGAATTTAAGGAAATATGTAACTGTGAATATTTTCAATAATTCCATTAAATTCCAGCTTGACTCGGGTTCCGATCTTTCAACCATTAACTGGCGTACTTGGCGAAAATTAAAGAAGCCGACCTTATTAAAAACGGACAAAAGAGCAAAATCCGTAACTGGCGAAAAGATTAACATTTTAGGCGAGGTAATACTTACAGTAACACTAAATGGAGTTACCAAAAAGCTCAAAGCCTACGTATTAAAAACTTCAGACAACTTATTTGGAACTGATTGGATAGAAAAATTCAATATTTGGGATTGCCCAATGAGTACATTTTGTCGCAAGATACGAAGTATAACGTCTAATTTGGTAAATCTCAAAAAGGAACTCAAACAACAATTTCCCCAGGTTTTTTTTGCGGCCTTGGGAAATGTACTAAAATGAAAGCTAAGTTCAAGGTGAAGGACGGTGTACAACCGGTATTCAAAATGAAACGGAATGTCCTTTTCGCTGCTCTAGAACAAATCAATAAAGAGTTAGATAGACTCGAACAAGCAGGTATCCTGTCAAAAACAGATTTCAGCGAGTGTGCAGCACCTACGGTCTACGTAAAAAAGAAGTTCAATCAAATACGAGCCAACGCGGTCAGAAACATGACGGAACCAGATAACGTTCAAGCATTACAAAGCTTCCGCGGCCTAGCTAACTTTTACCAAGAGTTCATTAAGAACATGCAAAATTTGAGAGGGCCTCTCAACCAACTTTTAAAAAATGACAAACCATGGTCATGGACCCCGGAATGCCAAGACGCATTCGAGAAGATCAAGAAAACTTATGACCATGGAATATTAGTGTATAAGCCTTTTTATTATATATATATATATATGTATGTGTGTTTTTGTATGTGTGTGTGAGTTTGCGTAAATATAGTTTTAAGGCATGTTATATTTATGGGTAAAAGTTCTTAGTTTCATACATAGGACCTATGTAAATATGGAAGTGGACACTTAGACCAAAACCAAGCGGCGACAGTCTGTTTCATGCTTGAACGCAATCTTCAGGCCATGTGCGTTATGTTTTGGCTCGACTATTTATATATGATGGGCAATGGTATATTATGGGCGAACGGTTTATATTATTATCTTAACAGTTATGGAATCAATACCATTACCACCTACCCAAAGACCGTCGCCACTTGGTGTTGTCTACAGTGTCCATTTTTATATATATATATATATATATATATATATATATATATATATATATATGCGCGTGTGTGTGTGTGTGTGTGTATGTGTGCGTGTGTGTGTGTGGAGAGAGAGGAGAGAGAGAGAGAATATAGACACAAAACAATGGTTAAACATAAGAAAACATAAAAATTAATTACTTTAAGTAATATGTGGAAATTACCATTCTTCCCTGATGAAGGTCACAAGACCCGAAACACGTGCAGCAAAATATATGGTAAATAAAGTATAATATATATATATATATATATATATATATATATATATATATATATTTGGTTGGATAGATGTGAGTTTGTGACCCTGGGTTTCACGTATTAGCGATCGTCAGACAAACCAAATATGTTAGCTCTATCTCTGATATTGAGCGCTTTCTAATAAGTACTGCGCATATAATATATCAATAATTATACATCTATATATTTATTTATATTTATATGCACTTTTCACACACACACACACACACACACACACACACACATATATATATATATATATATATATATATATATATATATATATATAATCCACTTTATAAAAAACTCTTTTCTCTCGTTGGAACAACTATAATCTCTCCTTTTATCTCTCTCTCTCTCTCTCTGTATCTATCTATCTATCTATCTATCTATCTATCTATCTATATATATATATATATATATATATATATATATATATATATATATATAATTTAACATAATACCAAAACACCATACATCATTCACTTCAAAGAAGAACGCCAAATCCTAACAGTTCTTATTATGTAAAAAAAATAAACCACATTAAATAAAATATTTTTAATTATAGGGTGTGGTTGACAGTCATTGGGGAAGATGAGAACAAAGCATAAACTTCGGACATTTAAGAAGATAAAGCTGATCGTGATGTACAACATTAAACAAACAAACCTTATCGATTGAATTCAACAAAACCTGTTAGGATGAATTGCGTTACCTAAATAAACCTTATATAACATCTTTACTAAAGACTCTCGAAAGGTTCAGGCCGCCAGACGAAAATTACAAAAAGAAAACACGTCTAGCCACTGTATATAATATATATAGTAATAAGAATATATATATATATATATATATATATATATATATATATATATATATATAGGAGAAGAGAAGAATACTGGTAATATATAGACTATATGAAGTGCATTATGATGCGTTCATCAATCATTCATGTGATGTACTCATAACGGTTTGAATTTCCTTTGCCAAACGAATAATCAAGCAGAGATAAACCTGTTATTGTCAGAGAAGGATGCTTGAACCAGAAACCGCCAAGAAAGATCTGGTCAAAAACAAAACTAATGATCAGTGACAAGTGCTTCATTTTCCGCGCAATAACGAGGAAGAAGACGATCAACATGAACGGCGGAGATGTTGGAGGTGGGGAACGGGAAAGTTGGTTGCATTGTGAAAAGAGGAACAAGGTTCTTCTCAGATTGACCCTGGCCAGATTTGAAAATGGTCTTTTGCACAGACGGGAGAAGTAGGGAGTCTTTGAGTCGACAGTAAGATTGAGGCCCTGTGATAGATCGCCGGCGCTGTGGCAGTTTGCTGACACCTTTCCCAGGACACAGGACGCTCCATTACCCGGTGTGAGGAGACCAAGATCATTGGTGTCAGCAGAAATATCTCTTAGAAACGGGCAAATAAAGGTCCTTAAATTGTTCCCCCTTCAAGACCCTCCGGAAACGAAGAGGAAGAGAGTCATAAGAAGCGAAAGAATAATATAGTTTTGTGAACTAGTTTTCGTGAAGGGGAGTTTCTTAAATTGTACGCAACTGAATATTATATCGTCTGTTATCCAGTATGCTGTGTGCTAAGAGAAACACATAATAACCAGTTTATATGTTCTGGCTCTTTAATGTGTAAATATATGGGGAGAAAGGTGGTTATGAGTTGTGAGTGTTTGGAACTCGGTAGCATGACTATAAAAAGCATTTTGAGAGAATTTAAGCTCCTAGAAAATAAATATGGAATGAGATTTCTTAAGACAATGGCTAAAACGGTCATCAGATATAATCACATTTGTCCAGAGTTGATAGCCAGGATGATTTTTAGAAAAGAAAAATGTTGCAATTCATACAATGCTATAGTGACAAGTAATATGTTCGTCTTCCTGGGTATGACGATAAACTACATCCAGCAGCAAAGCTTCTGATTGGGAGGTTTTGTGGGGCCTGGAACCGCCTCTTAATCGCTATTGTTTCTAATCTACCCTGACCCGAGGTAGTAGCACTTGTTAGGGTCCCAAGTATGGGTAAATAGTTAAATCCAAAATGGGGTCAAAACACTATGACAGTATAAAAAAATTTTATAGTAAAATCTACCAGCAATACATTTTTGAAAAAGAAAAAAATTCCCAGCGGTAAAATATATATTTTTTAACAAAAATTTACCAGCAATACATTTTTGTAAATATAATTAGCAGCAATGCATACATTTTTGTTAAAAAAAATTAGCAGTAAAACATTTTTTGTAAAAAAAAAAAAATAGCAGGAATACATTGAAAAAAAAAAAAAAATTAGCAGCAATACATTTTTTTAAAAATTATCAGCAATACTTTTTGGAAAAATAGTTAGCAGCAATACATTTTTGTAAAAGAAAGTACTAATACTCCCAAGAAGATTAAATTTCGATATTAAATGACCCATAAGGAGTTGATATGCCGCTAATCAAACAAACAAACAATATGTTTTGAAATGGACGATTTTTAATAATTTCACCCCAAGCAGGATGATGAAAGCCTTTATGAACCAAAGGGTTACAGAAAATGTCATTGAGAGAACGATTACCTGTTGGTCTAGTACCGCGTTTAAATTTGTGAAGTCAAGGTACCAAAGAGAGATCCTCAGAACTATTTTCACGAAGATATTTACAGAAAAAGCACAAAAACCGATAAGATTTCAGATTCTTCTTTGGATTTTGTCAAGAATCTCTAAATATATAGTAGACGCACCAGACATGATGTGGCTACAAAATATTAATGTTAAACTTATAAATGCGCAAGATGGATTCTAGGGAGAAAGAATATCTAGCATGACATTGTGAACCGACTTTTCAAGCAGAAGACTTGAACAATTGATTCAATAGAATCTTTTCCATTTCCTGTCAATGGAAAACATTAGCCCAAGAAGTTGCAGTGAGTCCTCCTGGTTGATGGCTAATCATTCCACTTCATGTCTGTGGAAAACCTGAGGACATGTTTACTATTATTCAAGTGAACGTTTAATACAACGTAAACGAAAGACTGAACCAGGTAAGATATGAATGGTGGAGGGGAGCTTGTATGTGGTTAACCTTCTGCACGCGAACAATTACAATTGATCAAAATCCTTCATCTGTTCCTTTTTATTACTTTAAACGTTATATTTAATGGATACTCGTATTTGAGTAGACGCTCCGTTTATGTATTAAAATATTTTTTCGCCTACCAGCCTGAATATTCTAAGAATCTTATTAAATAAAAATATGCATTCTCCAACATGCTTCTAACCTGCGCCCCCCCCCTGGATATAGGGGACAGTAGTAAGATTTGATGTATTCTGATCCGACTGAGCTACTGAGAAGTTAGCTGATGAGGAAATGTTGAATAGTACCTTCAAGCGAAATTCCTCTTGTCATAGACTTCTCAAAATTGTTCATATCTATACAATTTCATATCCAATCTTTCGTATCTACACAGTCTAGGGTGACGTCATGTCTAACGGTTGTTGGGAACGAGGCCGTACCAAAAAGAATGCTAATTTTTTAATATGCGCGCAGTAAACATATCATAGGCACTTCGAGATGTGGGTTGATTATTTTGCATAATAATAACTTCTAGGGTGTTGTGTCTTTTTGCATTGGGTGATGTGGAATATTTTGGTATTATTCACTAATATTTCTCTTATGTTGATAATTTAGTTTTGATCGTTAAAGATGCGCACGGAGTTTCGACAGGAGGTCATTTTGCAAGAGAATGCGCTGAATAAGTGCCCGATGTAACAATTAAACGCTGTATTTCAATTATTGATGTTGGTAATGCAATCTCTCAGAGGGCATGAAATAAAATATTAACAACGGTCAGTTTATCCGCAATTTTTCGAGCATATTATTCAACGCCTGATTCAAAACTTGGAGAAAAAAACTGTTGTTGAGTAAATAAGACACCCATTCGGTAACACAAAATGAACTAGACAAGACGCCTTAAATAAAGAACTCAAATTGAGTCAAGCGAAGTCTGTTGGAGTCAGTCGAGGAGAATTTCTAATGACATCACGGCGAGTAGCCTAAGCGAGACATAATATTTTAACTGCTAAGATTGAGTTATAACAGTGGCGACGAAGAATCGAAAGTCGTACAGAGTAGAAAAAAATTACGTTTTGCTTCGGCGTACATGATAACAATGACGGCGAGAAATTAGAACTACGTTGATTTATTTTTTTTCTCTTTGGTGTGTGTAAAAAAAGAAAAAAGAGAGGAAGAGAAAAAAAGATATTATTTAAATATAGAAGAATTATAAGTGGTAAAAAATACAACAGCAACAACAGCAACTTCAGCAGTTGCTGGAACTCCAGAAACACCAACAAAATTTAATTTAAATAATACGGAAGAAAATAAAAAAAAAATCTCTTTCACTCCCGAAGCGGTGGCAAATGCCATAGCTGAATTCACATAAAATTCAGATGATGGAATTATCTTTTCTGCTTATTTTAGAAGATACATGCAAATGTTCAGAGGAGAATGCAGGGAGTGGGAAGACGAGGAAAAAAAAAAGATTTTTCTTGAGAAGGTTAGCACCAGTAGAACATGAATAATATATGAAATTTGCTGTGAAGAAACAGTAAATATTCTGGCTAAAATTTTTACCGAGACATGTTCATTATTCAATACACGTTGGAAGTGTATGAATCTGAAGAAAAAAAGAAGACGAAGATTTTGTCACATGGAATCGTTAACAAAGAATGTGAAAGATTAAAATTAAACGATCTGACTCCGGAGATGTTTAAAGGGTTAATCTTTGTTCAAGGGTTATTGGTAAAAAAAAAGACGCAGAAATACGTGCTAGAATTTTACCGAAACTTGAACAGAATAAAAAATTAACTCTACAAGAAATATCAGACAAATGTCAGAGAACCTAAATCTGAGACGCGATACCGAAGAAATTGGAAAAAAAAAAGAACGGCCATACATACAAGAATCATGAATCCATGTTTCAGATGAGGAAAGTTACATCTCGGTGACGACTGTCCCGTTAAGAATTCAAAGTGTTACAAATGTGCAAAAATAGGACATAAAAATCACACTGTAAAATCAAATCAAGGAAACGTTCTCACAGAAAATATTTCGTACACTGCGTTGCTACAGAAAAATAATTACAGAAAACCCAAAAGAAATCTCTTTATGCTGAAAAAATAAGTTTTGTCATTCTGATCTTTTAGTTGGTAATAAACATCAGAACTTATATTAATCTTTTCTCATTTTTTTTTGTACAGGTTAATAGGACTAGATAGGCTCAACTATCGTCTGGTCCATATTCCTTTCATGTCTATTGAACAGCAGTAGACGCTCATCTCTTGTTTCCTGTTCAGGGTATGATTTATCGGTTCCCTTTCTTTTCCTTACTAGTGCCACAGTGATTTAACTGCCTTAACTCTTTGGTGATCAGACTAACCAATGGCTGTGACTTTCCATAATGAGGATACCAGGTTGGCAGTTTCCTGGCTGCTGCTTCCGATTGGTTGTTAGGAGCCCGAACTCTTTGGTAGCACTTAGAAAAGCTACTCTAATCAACAGCCGCATAATATCGGGGTGTCTGTAGTACCATGACGTGCATGGGGAGGTGTCCCTGCATGCATTTCTGGTGAGCAAACCTGAGGCCACATTATGCTCTCTTCTCAGCTGGTTTGTATTGCCATAGACGATAGATGGTGGCAATTATAGAGGTCTTTGTTCTCGCTCCTCAAAATGAATATCATGGAAAACAACCAAAAGAAACACAATTAAACCCGTGAACAAAAACTGCCAACCCTTCTGAAACTTTTTTCATCCAATATTCTGCAGCGTAGAATCTTTTCTCTTGGAACGGTCACCTGATACCTTTGTCTATTGTGAAACCAACGTAGATTCTTCCATTGCTAACAACGAATTCTTGATCCCAGGCTATCTTTCCCGCTGCCGAAAAGATTCTAGGATTCACATGCATGGCCTTGGTATCTACATCCGGGATAATCTTCCAATGGACAAGGAATTGGCTCTCGAGGCCGCCGACTATTCTTTCATGTGCATCCGTCTTTCGTTACTAAACCCTGTTAGCTAATCTCTTTTTCCTTTATCGTTCACCCTTTTTCCAGGACTGCAGTGTATTTGACATAATAGCTGAGTATAGAAATGGCACTTTCTCTTCATCCATCTGCGAACATCTTTATCTTCGGTGACTTTAATGCTCACCATGACACTTTGCTGAAACCTTCTAAAAATACTAATATTGTCAGTATTCAGACATTAAACTTTTCCAATTCTTTATACAAATCATAGACTTCCCTACTCATTTCCCTAGCAAAACCGAAAAACAGGCAT